GGTCGTGTTGTGATGCCTTCGGAAGAAGATGACTCACAGGCTCCTCAAGTAGAGAACCCGGCCAAGTACAAGGTTGACGACATCGTACGGGAGGTGGAGAAATCGTGGCAACGACAGATCGTACCGGAGCCCAAGATTTCCTGCGTGCAGAAAGGTGGTCTGCTGGAAAAGATCGAGCCTGAGCAGAAACCCGAACTCCAGGCGGAAGGTGATATTGATATGGAGAACGCCGACAGCCACTTCCTTGATCAACTGGGCTCTCCATCTGCCGCTGGGGCGGTTCCTGCTTCTTCCACCACCCAAGAACCAGCAGCACCGACAGCCGCACCCGCCGTTCCTCCCACAACCAGTGTACCCTCTGGAGGCGTACCCGTGCCACCGCAGCCACAGCCCACCGCCGACGCTACGCAGCAGGGTACGTCTCTCGATATCGACATGGATATGGGCGACGGACAGGCGACGAGCACGGCGGCTGGGGAAACAGGCGACTGGGTGATGGTCAACGACGAGAAGAAGGATCAGCCTGCTGGCGGTGATAGCTCCCTACCAGGCATCAGCACCCCGGGCAGTGGCATTCAAGGCCTGACACCTGGAAATGGAGGGAGTGCCGGAGATTCTGCGCTGGACGGGGCCAACTTCGATTTCACGAATATGGATAGCGCAGGTGATGCGCTCGCAGCATATACCGAGCAGAACGAAGGGCTGGACCTCCCGGACCTGGAGAACTCGGCGTTCGGCGATGCATTTCACGCATCGGATAATGAGAACACACATCACCACGATGCGGACGATATGGCTTAGGATTGCTGATCGCTGGGTTTCGAAATTCCTTGGGGTGGGGGACACGGTGTTTGTGGAGCTCTTGTAACCAATAATTGGCGCTGGGTTTGCTTTGCTTGAGCCCTTTCCGTGTAGAGGAGGGGTTGTGAATGAGATTGCTCCATTAGCTGTTAAGCAGCATTGTTATTCCTTGTATACTAAAGTAGGTGGAGGTGTCCGATCTCGGAGGTATGAGGAGTAGCCATCTGCACGTCAAAGCTGATTCTGCGCCTTGACTAGGTCGTACCGACGATGTAAAGCCGATGAAGAAGTCACCAGACCAACTTAGCAACATCATGTACATTGTCCTAACCCATACTTATCCCACTTCCACTTCCACTCCCTCCACCTTCATCCCAATCTTTATCTGTCTAGGTCTCTACTTCAAAACCTCACTGCACCCATGACAGACATTCATATAGAAACTAGCACTATCGCAGATAAGATGCGCCCACCCGATACCAAATAACCCTCATATCATCCGCCTAAGTGACGCTATCACCGGGCCCGACCATCCGCATGACAGGAGTTACCCCGGTCAAGTGATTCCCGCATGGCTATCAAATGTACAATGTATATAGAAAACATGGGTATCTCCCTCCGAGTCTTTCTCTTTCGCTCTCTTTTTGGAATGACTTGACTCTCTGTTATCTAGTATAACAATGTTACCTAATTACAATCTACATTTCCCCAAGATCTAAGGCCTATCGATATCCTACCAGCTATACTATACATACTATACACTCAACCCACACTTCTCCATCCAAACCCTACACCATAAACCCAAAGAAGAAGAAGAGAAAAGAGAAGAATGTGCCTCCCACCCCTCCCCGACTCCCTCTCCCTCCCCAAACTCCTCAATCTAAACCTCGACTCTTCCTCCTCGCGATCCTCCTCTCCCTCACCACCACCACGATTCCACGATCGCCATCACCACCACCATAGTAGCCACCACCACAACTTCCGCAGACGACGAAGATCCAACAGCTCATGCAGCACCTGCAGCGACACCACCAGCTCCAGTTCCACTACGACCTCTATCTCCATCCGCCCCCCACCGCGAAGCTATCACCCCCCTCAACCGTCTCGCAAGCCTCCGCCTCCACCTGCTCTTCGAGAGCGGGAGCGAGATACTTACCGAGCAAGTCGGAGTAAGGTTCGAGATGTCGAGGAGACGTTCATCCCGCTTCCGCCGGCGAGGCCTGTCAGGATTGCGAGGCCGTGGCCGCGGCCGAGATTACCGCCCCCACCTCCGCCGGTGGTGATTGATGTCAGAGAGAGGGAGAGGGAGAGGGAGAGGGAGTTCTGTCGGTTGCCGGATGTGGAGGCGGAGGAGGTGGAGTGTGTGGGGGTTTTTGAGCCCGAGGAGGAGCGGGAGAGGGTGGAGGAGTGGGTGGTTATGAGGGAGAGAGGGGGGTGGAGGAGATCTAGTGGTGGTGGTGGTGGTGGTGGTGTTACTACTATTAGGGAACGGGGGAGGTGGAAGGAGGTAGTTGAGGATGAGGAAGTGGATGAAGAGGTGGATAGGGTGGAGGAGGATAGGAGGAGGAAGGTTAGGGTTGAGTATATTCGGGCTCGATAGTGGAGGTGCTGGGTTTATGGTATTTTGGCTCAAGTATATAGATTCGCTTTGCATATGCGGTTCATTTACTCAATATCATGACTCTTGCTTGGCTTCCTCTTGGGGCAGTCCTGTCGCTCTATGCACTATGATATACTCGTTATACTTCACGTCTACTGTATAGAGTTCAACGAGCAACTAACTTCCCTCTCCCATGGAACCATCGCGATGCATCATGGCTGGGCTGTACTGCAACCGGCCGATGACCTCAATGCCCATCCGTGTCCTCCGCATGACGTCACGGTCTTTGTCCAGAGGGTCTATTTTGTTCAGATGCAAAGAAATAATTAAACCATTGATCAATGCCATTTATCCCTCGTGCCCCACAGAATTGATCTATCAATGAACCGATCGTGGGTTGATTGGTATAGCTACTGCAACTAATTGTGATCATCGGATAGGATCTGCCATCCGTCCATTCCAGAAGAAGTATCATTCGAGGAAGGTGCAATCCTTTCTCTGTCATTGTTAGCTCGTCGTACCTGTTTTAAACTACATTGTGTTACATTGAATTGTGAGAGTTGGCACCGTGGATAACCTAGTTAGTTCGCAACCATGTATATCGCTCCCATCTCTCCACGGACATCTTGTGCATACTGACCAGCTTAGGAATCGCAACCTCTCTCACAGGAGGAGAAGTTCATTGACTGCTCGTCCCCGGTTCCGCTTCTCTACGCTGCGCGGCTTTCAGCAGCCCGAGCTGAGCAAGAAGCTGAACCAGGTCATTAAGAACGAGAATGCTGCCATCGGTGCTCATGAGAAGGCCAGTCGCGAGCGCGTGTCTATTGCATCCCAGCTGTCCGACTGGGGTGAATGGACTGAAGACGATGCTGTCGCCGATATCACCGACAAGTTTGCTGTCCTGATGGCCGAGATTGGCGAACAGGAGGATACCTTCGCTCAGTATCTCGAGGAATACCGCATCGTGCTGAAGCAGATCCGTGACACGGAGAACTCGGTCCAGCCGTCCCGCGACCACCGGGCTAAGATCGCAGATGAAATCCAGAGACTCAAGTGGAAGGAGCCACATAGCCATAAGATCGATACTCTGGAACAGGAGTTGGTCAGGGCGGAGGCTCAGAGTCTCGTTGCTGAGGCGCAGTTGACTAATGTGGTAAGTATTGAGATCGATGCAGCATGCAATATCGCAGAAGCTAAAGTTCGAGTTTAGACCAGGTCGAAGCTCAAGGAGGCATTAGACATCCACACTGCTGCGGTCATTGAACGAAACGAGAAACAGATCTTGCTTGCTCGTCATGCGCGTCGCGTTCTGGAACAACTGGACGACACCCCTGTCGTTCCTGGTGACTCCCCACGCGAGTACGATCGCACATCTTCTACGAGACAAATCCTCGAGGAGGCTGAGAATGATCTCCGTTCTTGGGAGAGCACCACTGTGCCTATCCAGAGTGCGGCAGGGGAGCTCCCGGACAGTACCCTTTTGCCAGCTGCCGCCCGTAGAGCTACCAATGGCCGCGCATCATATGCGGCTGACACAGCCGTCTCAGACTCTGTGCGGGACGTCAATGGTTCTGCGGAAGCTTCTTACGTCAATGGCGCTGGTCATGAGAGATATACAAATGGCACTGGTGTGGAGCAATATGCCAATGGTACTGGCCAGGAGCGATACGTTAATGGCTCTGGCCAAGAACGATATGTCAACGGCACCGGCCAGGAAAGATATGTCAATGGGAACGCCGCGGAGCGACAAGCAAATGGAACTGGTCGGGAGCAGTATACTAATGGTACCACCACAGAGGCCTATGTCAATGGAGGCAGTGCGCGATATGTCGAGGGAGTCGCGCCGGAGGAGTATGTGGATCGAAGTGTCACAGAAGAATATGCTGGCCGTGCTCAGGAGCAGAGCGCCACCGGTGTCACTGAAGAGCAGTATAGCAGCCGTGCTCAAGAGCCGGTCGCCGCCAGTGCTGGCGAGGAGCGATACCCCGGTCGTCCTCTAGGACAGGTCTTTACCAGCGCTGCCGATGAGCGGTATGCCACCGGTGGCACAGAAGGACCATCCGTCCCCGCTGTTGAGGAGCAGACCACTCCTGCTGCCGCACAGGACATATACTCCAGCCAGACAGGCGGAGATCAGGTGGCAGATGGATCTGTCCGGGAGGAGACTCTAAAAACAGAGGAAGAGGAAGTGCGACGAGCACCAGATCCACGCCTCTCATACACCTCACGAGGCTCCGAAGCTCCGCAAATAATCAGCCCAGTCCCGGTGCAGGCTCATCCTGTGGCAGTCCCCATCTGAGCTGAGGACTGGGGGTAGTGTATTGGTTTCTAGCTATGCTCGTTATCTATAATTGTAGTTCTAGTACGTACGGTATTTGGCTTATATGTGTATACTCCGCTCTAAAACTGGGAGGCCTGACACAATACCGTCAGCAGGGTGGCTGTTATTGTAACTAGTTGAGTAACTATAGGAAATATGAAGTTAAATGCAAAGGAATAGCATAGTAATTAGATAATTGGTGGAGTACCATCACGTGATCCAGGCGGCCAGCGTGACGCGGACGCCGGCTTGGGAGCTCCAAAGCATCATCTCAGAGCTCCGAGCTGCACCCGCCATCGCCATCTCCCTCTTCCATCTTCTCTCTCGCACCCAACATTATCCTCCAGAATATATCTCCTCGTTGCTTCCTTGAATCTACCAACACACCTTGCACAACATGGATAAATTGGTCGCTCAATACTCCCGCCCGCCGCATCAGAATGAGTTCTACTCAGAGCAAGAGCAGCGGGACCTCACAGAGAGCCTTCCTCCGCTCTCTCTGAAGTTCAACCTGCCTCCTGTTGATAACGTGAGATATACACCTTGTGAAGTTGCTTGTCTGGGGGTCAGGTTGTGGTAAAGCTGCAGCTGCCTAAGATTGGGCTGGACACCGATCCGACACTCCTACATGCTTCTTACCAATCGCGGAACCAGTGGCTGACATCTTTCTGTATCTCCAGTCTAGAGCCTTCCTTCGTGCCATGACCGATGACCACTCGAATCCCAGCTGCCCCATCAAACTTGCCCACGGAACGACGACACTGGCTTTCCGATTCCAGGGCGGAATTGTATGCCGTCATCACTGCCTCCGCCACGTCTCGCACTGACCATTATCCTCCTAGATCGTCGCTACGGATTCGAGAGCTACTGCTGGAAACTGGATTGCGAGTCAGACAGTCAAGAAGGTTATTCCCGTTTCGCGGTTGAGCCGCGGGGAGGACAAGCCGTCAAATGAGCCCACTCCCGGCCTTTTGGGCACCATGGCCGGAGGTGCTGCGGTATGTGCTATCTGTGTGGAGCAATGCGCGCTCTGTGCTAGAATTATGATCTAGGATGAACAGCTGACGACCGGTTATAGGACTGCCAATACTGGTTGAGATATCTGAGCCAGCAATGCACACTTCACGGCAGGTTCAATTATCCATTGTTTCAACGACATTCATTAACATCAAGACAGAAATCCGTCACAAGCGCCGTATCACCGTCGCCGCTGCCTCGAAGATTCTCGCCAACCTGACATATGCCTACAAGGGAATGGGTCTGAGCATGGGAACGATGTTAGCAGGAGTACGTGAACCCTTCCTATAAACATGATGCATCGATGCCCAATCTAACTTACGACAATAGATGACGCCCCAAGAAGGACCCGCTCTCTACTACATCGACTCAGACGGCACCCGACTCCCCGGAAACCTGTTCTGTGTCGGATCCGGTCAGACCTTCGCATATGGTGTGCTTGACGCCAACTACCACTATGACTTGACTGAGGAGGAGGCCCTCGAGCTCGGCCGCAGAAGTATCCTTGCTGCCATGCACCGTGACGCGTACTCTGGTGGTTTCATCAACCTGTACCATGTCAAGGAAGAGGGATGGGTGCACCACGGTTTCAACGACATGAACCCGATATTCTGGAAGACGAAGCTGGAGAAGGGCGAGTTCTCGAATGTCACGTCGGAGTTGTAAGCGCGGGAAGTGCTGATGGGTTCTGTATGGTGGATATGATACTCTTATTTAGGCCTAAGATTTTTATTATGTGATGCTCCTTGATACAGTAATCTCAAGAGTAGTCGTCTTGTAATCATGCCAGAAGTACTGAGAGGTTGGTACTGCCGAAGACAATGCGAACCATGCAACCACACAGCCCCTACAATCTATAGTAACAGAAACGAACCATAAGAACTAGATGAAATGATCATAGCTATATGAAAAAGAGAATAAATACATAATGCATACATAGTAACATACATACATCCCCAAGAAGCCAAACATCAAGCAACTTTATAGCAAAGAAAGCAGTGCTGAAAATGCGCCCCCAATCTAACAACGAACAAAAAGGTTTGCTTTTTATATCATCATCCCCCCACACAGATAAAAACAAAAATAAATATATGCACCCTAATTATCCACCCAGAACTTCATACGAATACCCATAGCCGCCAACTCAACATCCAAGTACCTCAAGACACCGGGCACCGCCACAACGGTAACATTATCACCACCAACATAGCGACGACCATCACCATCCTCCCAGACATCCGCGCGGGAATCCTCAAAGACAGCCTCCCTAGCACAACGGCGACAACGAACAATACTCGGCGCCCCGCTAATAGCGTTCGCACCGGAATGCTGATTCGAAGCGGCCTTTGCAGCGGCAATACGAGCCTTGCTTGATCCAGCAGAGGACACAGCCACCTGGGTGGAGAGGAAGGAGCCGCAGTCGCGACAGATCCAGGAGCGGGTAGCATCGGAGCAGTTCATGAGACGGTCCTGAAGGATGTGGGCGGCGCCGTGGGCGATGAGGGAATCGCGCTCCATTTCTCCGACTCGGATACCACCTCCCTTGGCACGACCCTTGACGGGTTGGCCGGTCAGCTGGTTGACGGGACCGGTGGTACGCACTTGGAACTTGTCGTTCACCATGTGACGGAGACGTTGGTAGTGGACGACACCGATGAAGATGTCGGCTGCGAATTCCTTGCCCGTGATGCCGCTGTATAGGGGCTCGTTGCCGAAGTAGTTGTATCCGGCTTTGCGGAGCTGGTGGCCGAAGTAGTCGGCCGCGGTGTTTTCTTCGGAGAATTGGAAGGGCGTGGAGTCTTGGGGATGGCCGTGGAGGGCACCGGCTTTGCCGGCCATTGATTCGATCATTTGGGCGATGGTCATTCCTGGTGGTGGTTAGTGGGGATGAGGTTGGTAAGGTGGGGATGGGGATGGGGATGGGGGGCTTACGAGAGGGGAAAGCGTGAGGGTTGATGATCAGATCGGGCTGGATACCACTCTCGGAAAATGGCATGTCCACGGCGGGCCAGAGCTGAGAGCAAACACCCTTTTGACCGTGACGAGACGAGAACTTGTCACCGATGATGGGCTTACGGGGAATGCGGTACTTGACGCTGAGGGCCTGGCCGGGCTCGACTCCGGATTCCGCTCCCAGGATGCGCACGCTGTCGATGTATCCTTCTTCGGCGTCCTTGTACTTGACGAAGTGGGTGATACCGTCAACGTTGACGTAGGAGTCGGAAGCGGCGTCGTAGCGCACCGTGTGCCATGCGGCGACGAGACTGCCCTCCTTCACGCGGGCACCGATGTGCGGGAGACCGTCTTCGTCCAAAGTGGCACGCCAGTCGGCGCGAATCTCGCCTCCAGGGGCGAAACCGAAGAGCTTGGTGACCTCGCGTCTGGACTTGCCGCGGCGAGAGTCCTTCTCGTCGAGGGAGTGGATCTTGGTCTTGTAGATCGTACCGTAACCGAAGCCACGCTCGTGGGAGGATTTGTTGATAATCATAGCGTCGTCCATGTCGTAACCGGTGTAGGAGATAATAGCAACAACGGCGTTGGTTCCGTTAGGGAAGTTGTCCAGACCGTACGCGTTGTAGAGAGGGGGGCGCACAATGGGTGTCTGACCCGTCTGCAGTCGGTAGAGCTTGTTGTCTGTACGATATTGGATGGCAGTACCGGGTGTACCCATCGTTTGCTTGCTCATCTGGCACTGGTACATGTTACGAGGCGACTGGTTCTGGTCGGAGAAAGGCGTCATGTTGGCGACGATAGAGAGGATGTTGGTAGGGGTGAACTCGATGTGCGTCGACACGCCGGAGATGAGATCCTGAGGCAAGCATGCAATCTCCATGAAGGGCTGCTCGAAGGGACCAACGTAGTCCAGCTTGTCGAGTCCAAGGTGCTTGACGGGGCGGTACATTCTGGCGGCTTGCGAGAACATGTAAATACCAGGGTATTGACCACCGTTGGTGTTGGGGACGTAGCCAATTTCCAGCTCGCGCGGGATCTTGTCAGAGCCCATGACCTTCCAGCGTCGCAGGGTGTTCGCGATCGCAGAAGCCTGTTTCGGTGAGCAGTAACCAATGATTCTACCATCAAGCTGGACGGTGACGCTTTCGGTCACAGAGACAGACGAGTCGGAGCGCACACCAAGCTGAACCAGCGCCTTGGGGATGTGAGTGGTGTCCACGTCGCTAGTTGCAATCAAGCACTTGTGCGCAAGATGGTTGAGCAGACCACAGGGCGAACCATCAGGAGTGTGTACAGGACAGAAGAAACCCCAACTCTCGGGAAGCAGCTTACGGACGGTTGTCGTCTTCAGCTGGGCGAAGAAACTACCTCTGTGAATCATGCGGAAGTGACTGATGAAACGGTAGAAGTTGATCTTTTCCGCCATGACCGTGTAACCGGACGGTTGCTGCAAGTCGAGACCAGTAGGACTGACGAGGTTACCCGTAGACAGGAAGTACTCCAGTGCACCACCGATGTTCTCGTTCGAGCGCTTGACGACCTTGGCCAGGAAATCCCTTTCAAAGGCCGGATCGGTGAACGTGGCACCGGCATTGCGGTTGGACCAATCCCTGAGGATTGGCTGGAAGGACCTCACCCATTCCTCGATTCTTTCCTTCAAGATCATTCCGTAGAGGAATCCACCAAGCAGGATCTCCTGGTTGGAAACAGCATCCGGGTTGTCAGGAGCGCAGTCGCCAGCAACCAGAGCATAGAGCTTTCGGATCATGAACAGGAGCATCTTGAACTTGTCGTAGTCCTGGTTCTCGGTGACGTTCTGGTTCCCAAGGTGAGGCAGAACGACCTTGCGGAGGAACTCGGTACCAGCATCCTCGTTGGACATGTCTGCGGGCACACCGAGGACGGGTCTGAACTTCTCTCCGAGGTAGGCCCGGCAAGCGGCGCGACTGTGTGTGTTGTATGCCTTGTAAACCCGCAGAAGCAGCTCGACACGGTCAGTCACGAAGGTGTTCTTGATTCCCTCGGAAGAAGCGCTGCCAACGATGCCCTCGAAGATTTCGCGGTCGTTCGTCTCCACCAAGGCCTTGAGGATCATCATCACCGGGACGAGATACTCGGCCTTGCGCCACGAGAAACGGAAAGTCAGGTTACCGTCGGTAAGGTAGTGAAGGACGTTGGTCTGCGACGTCTGATCGGGCCGCACCGAACGTATTTGAACACCATACTTGGTGTAGGTGTGTCCACGGCGAACGAAGGAACCACGAATAATCGCCATGGGGTAGTTGCGCTTTCCAACGACCAACATTCGAATGAGCTTCTCATTACCGTTGACAATGAAATAACCACCCAATTCCTCCGACTCTTCCTTGTGCTCAACAAGTTCATTAGGCGTGGCCTTCTCCAGATGGCAGCGGTTGGTCTGGAAAATCACGCAACGTTAGACAAGAGGTTTTTCCCTGCATACTCAATCCAACTGCTAATGTAATCGCACTCACCCTCAACATGATGGGAACCTGACCCAATTCTCTGACCGACTCCATCCAATCGCCATTGTTGACGCGCCATTCAAGTCTGGCGCGGAGCTTTCCACGGTACGTCGCATGGCGTTCTCTGCATTCCGAGGGGTAGATGTTGCGGTTGCGGGAAGTGAACTTGTTCGACGCAGGCAGGGCTGGCTTCTCAAGGAAAACCTCGCTAACACGGACATGCAGCTTGTTCCGCTTGGGCGCCTTGCGCCCCTCTGCCAGCCGCGCCTTCTTTTGTTCGGGAGTCTCGGCTTCACCGTCTATAAAGGTCTTGGTGCCAATATCCTTCAGGGCCGCCTCCAGCGTCTTGGGGCCGTCGAAGAGCGCATTGAAAGAATCGACATGCGGCCGGATGGCAGCCGCCAAGGCCGGGTATGCGGTCTGGTCCTTGGGAGGGTTGCGGAAAAGCTTCTCCCGTCTCAGGACGTCGTAATTGACCGACCAGTTCGTGTCTGTCGCCGCGGGGGCCATGGTGAATTATCTCAAGCCGTCGTGGCCGGGAGGTCGAATGAGGCGGGAAAAGTTCGATCAAACTTCCGTATCCGTAGTTTCCGAAGCACCGGAGTGAAGATAGGTGCTATTAAGCGGGCCCAATGCTCATTCCCTTGGTATAAGGGATCGCGAGAGCCACGAGGGAGGTAGAGGAGAGGAGATGCGACTCGCACAGAGAGCCGGAGTGCTGGTCTGGAGAGCAACGAACCTCGTCGTCGCTCGACGGGGAAATTTTTCGAGGTGGATCCGGCGGACAGATATCATCACGTGGAGATAGTGCAGTCACTGCCTGAGGCATACATAGCAGATAGAGTCAATTACATAATCTATGCATACGTCACGGGACAGACGCACGGGACAGGGAAGAACCGCCTTAGGCAACAAGGCAAACCCGGAATGCGTCAGTCCCAGCTTAACTCAATTAATCACTCAGTAATGTAACTACTAACTGATTTATCGGAGAAAAATCTGCCTGTTCTCAAGTGTGGATACGTAGTTTCCAAACTTCCATTATTATCCTGGACTACTACTACCTTATTGACCGCACGCATTTACTCTTCCGGGGAGGAAGATAATTAATATTTGGTGATAAGGCGGGTCGACAGGGAGGCCGACAATTGGAGATACTACGAACTAGTCCGGTAGTTACTAGTATCAATCCGCCGGCGACAGATTGACTGGGCTAAGCCGCGACTATTGGCTGCCATTTGAAAGCGCAGCTGTTAATAATATCATCATTGCTGCTCGGGGACTGTCTCTCCATTTCCCGGTTTGTCGATAATTAATGACTTCCTCGTGCGACTGAGAGCCACCGGTTCCCACTCCAGTGAGCAACTAACCGTGACTAGTTGGTCCTTTTGATCCCTCTTTACAGATTCCCGGAATATACGAGTGATTGACACGGGACCTGGGCATTAAACTAACTACTCCGAGTAGCTAGTCTAATTAGTTAGTTAGTTAATTACTGGATGCTGAGTCCGGACACAGACAACCAAACCCAGCCAAAAAAATCACTGACAGGGACCGGGCAGGACTAGACTACTAGGCGCTCCCCTCCAGCGCGCGGCGGCGCAAAAGCGAACGGTCATGCGTGCCCATAGATCGGACCAGCTCTAGTTTCACCGCAAAGCGAAGAGACATCAGAAGAAGAAATATTCTTTTCTGGCTGCTGCCATCACTGGGGATTAGGGAACAACCAACCCGACCCTGGGGAAATTGCCGCCTTTCTTTTTTCGCGCCGCTTCGACCTCACCCTCTCACCTTCTTTTCCTGCTCAGCTGCTGCTCGGACGTGGGAAACTTGCTACGACCGCCGCCTCTTTTTTCGAATCCACCCGCCCATTATTTCCCAGCACACCGGTTACTACCACCTACTATTTTCCACACTTCGCATCTTTCCATCCAACACTACAACCCACATCTAATCCTCTGCTTTTCCCTGCCCGGGAAAGAGAAGGCTCTGTTGCTCTCCCTTTTCAGCAATCCACTCCACCCCCACTTAACCTTACAAAATCCCTCTGCCCAGGAAGTGTCGATATATTTCTCCCACCCGTCGTCGATCGCCCACCAGCCGAGACAAGCAGTGCGCGCGCGCCCTTTCGACCTGCTTCCACCAAGTCAAGCCTTCCCCCTACTTAAACTATCCCGTCACCCTCGTTGCTCTGATCGCGCAAACGACACAAGGCGCAAACCCTTTCGATAATCAACATGGCGGGTATCTTTCGCACGATCTATGACTGGCTCCTGAGGATGTTCTGGTAAGTGGGCCGCCGTCCCAATAAGTAATCGCTTTTTCTCCGGGAACGGTCCCCCCTCTTCGGCCCGTCCCCGCAGATAAGGAATCATTCGATTTGCTAAGTGCCATTATGATATATTCGCACCCGCAGGGCGACGGAGATGGATGTGACCATGATTGGTCTCCAGAATGCAGGAAAGTCTTCGTTGTTACGTGTGCTTGCGGTATGCCTTTCCCCCCACGGCGACTGAACGCATCTTCCCGTGTTATCGGTCCTCGGCGCTAATCCCGCAGTATAGGGCGGCGAGTTCACTGTAGAGTAAGTTTCCATCCTGTAGGGCCTGGCCTGACAGAGCGACACTGGATCATCTGGCTAAATCCCATTTCAGTTCTATTCCCACGATCGGGTTCAACACGAAACGAGTTCAGAAGGGACATGTGACTCTCAAATGGTATGGTGCCCCAGTATGGAGCTGCGAGATGCCTGTGCGCGATGTATCTAATGTCCATCCAGCTGGGATCTAGGTGGACAGCCACGGTTTCGACCGATGTGGGAGCGATACTGTCGTGGAGTGAATGCGATCGTGTAAGTGTTCAAGTTTGTCTGGAACATGTCTTGGTACCCTGGCAGCGCTAATGGCCGGACAGGTACATTGTGGATGCAGCAGATCGGGCTGCCTTACCCGTAGCCAAAGAGGAGTTGCACGAGCTGATGAACAAAGAGACGCTTAATGGGATCCCACTGTTGGTTCTTGGGAACAAGTCCGACCTTCCGGAGAAGCTGTCGGTCGACGATCTGATCCACGAGATGGACCTGAAATCCATCACTCATCGCGAAGTGAGCTGCTATGGGATCAGCGCTAAAGAGGAGACGAACCTCGATGCTGTTCTGCATTGGCTAATCGCTCGAGCCAGTCGATGAACGACGTGTCGTCAGCGACTCCGCTTGATAAACGCTGGGGGATCAATCCCTCAGAGCCTCCTCTCCTTGATCCCATCCACGAGATGGATCTCTTGTAGACTGCAAAAACGATGCGGCTCGCAGCCCCGATGTAATGATGTGAACGACGTGAACCAGACACACATTGAGCTTCAGCGTAACATTTGTCCGATCTTCAGCACCTCAACCCTGTCATGGAGTCATTTGGTTTGATTTTCAAGCAATGATGTCAGTTTCAATGTACTTTTCTGTATTTTATGTTCCTCAAGGCCGTCCTTCATAGTGGAAAACGAAACCTGAACCGCGTGGGTTGCGGACATTGAAGAAGAAGAGAAAAAGAACTGCATAGTTAGCAAGTAGCTCGACAATCGAGAATTGAAGCGCCAGCGAGAGTGAGAGAAAGAGAAAGAGAAAGAGCAAGAGTTGGGGAGAAATCAATTAATGCCCAATAAGCACATGACCATCAGTCAGTCCAATGTAGCTAGCTTGCAAGCAGGTAGCTGAGTGAAGGAACTCAGCACCAAAGCCCGAAAGAAAAGGCCAGACAGATGCAAAGTAGAGAAGAGAGAAGGAAAGAAAGAGACAAAGAGACGCGGCAAACATGAATTATTCGAGGGCGCAAAGAAAAGAAAAATAAATCCCCAAGCAGGATCATGGCCAACAGGGCCACACACAGACCAACTGATGCGTTGGCAATGCAGATGCGCAGACGGGAACTAATCAAGCCTCCCCAGCAAATCCCACCCCGCCAAACAACTTGTACTTCCCCCCTCCTCCTCTTTCCCTCCCCGGGGCATCTGCGAAGGTTTATGGCTGGTGCGCTTTGCTTGCTTGCTTTCTTTCTTTTCCTTCCGAAATGGGGGCTATTTGTTGAGTTGTGTGGTTGATGACTGGTTATATGCCGGTTTAGTTTACAGAGTGGTATGGAGTACTCTGTTTGCTTACTTGTTCTCGGTGTATTTGTTGACTTCCAGGTGAGGGATTGATGGATGATACTAGTTCCTAGATGCTTGCATTTATGGAGTAAGTAGCTGCGCAGTTACGTATAGATCGGCTGTCTTTGCTGGTATGTGTACAGTAGGTAGTACTTTGAGTTCAAGTAAGTGACTTGCAGCGAGGCGTGGCCAATGTATCTGTCTAACTGCACAGTACTATTCATCTATTCTCGGTGCTCTATAGCGTTTATTACCTCAGGGAGTATCTAACCTATACACAAATCTGTAAGTAGTCCAGCCTGAGCAACTCAGTCCTTATTTGTAATTTGATTAGTAGTAACTGTCATTCCTAATTAAGCTCAGGTGTATTTGTTTGATCTAAATGATACACGAATTAGCAAAGCAGCCTATACTATCTATCTACGGAGTACCTATCCGGTATGGACTGCATTGAGAGACTAGTAGTAATCACCCCCGCCATAAACCTGAAACACGAGCTATCTAGGTAGTAGGCCGAATTAGTGCCGAAGATTGAGTGGGCTGGCTTTGTCTGTCTCCGTTCATCCAGCCTCCATTCATATCATACAAGATAAGCATTAATTAAGAGAGGTGCAGCAGGCTATTATAATAATAGCAGGCTAGTTGTATAATGCATCTCACTTAAGTATCGGTTTGAAAGTGACTATGTCTGTGACCGTGCTAGTGTGTCGGATATGATACTTTACTGTTGTCGGGTTGCCAATTTTGGACATATACCCTTGAACAGATGCGTGTGTATAGTATGATTGCAGCAACAGAGTAAGCAAGAAAGTAGGTATGACATGGCTTACTGTACCTCTTTTACGTGAGATGAGAGAGTATTGACAAAGAAATCTCAAATCAAGGGCCGGAAAAGGCAACCCGGACACGCGGCGGAGTGCTCCGTAGAGACATGAGACTGGATAGAATTTCTTCCGGATACTACTTTTGCCTCTAGGCAAAACAATAATGCAATATGAGGATCGAGATCGAGGCCAGGTCATGGGTACAGCAAATATTAGTTGGTTACTGATCTATTGCATGTCAACTGCAAAGTACAAGCGGTCAAGCGGATGATGATGATGGTTATGCTGCTACTGCTGGTGGTGTTGTTCGGTAAAACTCGTGGCTGTGACGTGAGTCTTTAGTGAGTGAGCATGGTTTGCATCGTGCCGAGGCACTGAATATCTGCCGACCGTTCAACAATGATACTAATAGGTGCTCTGGTAGCGGACCCAAGATTAAACAAGCACACCGTGATTATGTCTTGGTTGACTTGACTTTTCGGAAAAAGTGAGGAGAAAAGACACGACAAGACGTGGTTAAGAGTGGTCCCAACTCAAAAGAGATGGATGAGTGGATGAAAGAGGCACGCGATGGGAGGAGGAGGTTGAATAATTGGCAATTTGAGAACAGGCACCCGAATTTTGGAGAGACAGCAGTGGGCGGATAGGATAATCGACTAGTCTAGTGCCGGTCGTTGCAGTCACAGGCTCCACCGAATGCGATCCGAGGTCTTAGATATCCTCGCGCTTTTTGACACTCTTAGTTTAGTGGAACGGTGGATGAACGCGGTATGTAGATCTAAATGATTCATGAACCATTCATTTACATATCATTATTCACCGTCGGAATTCGGGAACAAACAAACTAAGTTAGGTATTTTTTTATTATTATTAAACTTTTATTCCCCTCTCTAGTTCTATTACTATGTAGAAAGTCTGGTTCACTGCTACCATTTGATGTGTCGAGTGGCTACTTGGAAATGGACTACGTACGACACTTTGCCAGCTGTGGGGGTGGGAAGGGCAAAGAATACTACTTACTACGTCAAACACTGCCCGAAGTTGACCTTTGGGAATGACTTACTACTACGGAGTCTAGTCTGCTTAAAGATTCTTCAACGGAAATGGTTGGATCTGTCTAGTCCAACTAAAATTAAGTAGTATTAGGCCACCATCATTCATGTTTGAAAACACAAGACAAGACTAGTCAAAGAAATATTTTTCTTTTCTTAAAATTCACTATTATTCATAATTAATAAATCATTTCTTTTCCAACTCCCCTTCCTTCCGATCACCTCACCAACAACAAGTAGAAGTTTATTCATCGTTCCCGGGGTGTTTGCCCAGCCACTGAGCCACACTGGCACCAGCTTTTCCAGCCCTACCTTACCCAATCGCCGGCCAGTCCCCATAATAACTTACCCGTGCAGTTCCTTTCGCTTTGCTGCTGCCTTCAGACGCCCAGAAGAACTTCACTGCTTCTTCCCTTTCCCCCCCTACCTTACTCCTGTCTGAATCCCTTCCTCGCCCCGAAGGAGTTACTGAAACTTTGCGATTCTCCTCCCACTGGTTTTGTCTATATTGACCTGCCGCCGCATACTTTCTTTTCCACTTCGCTCTAGACTTACCGTTCCCTGTACCGGCCTGATCGACGTCATCTTCCGCGCCTCCCAGGCCTCCGATACAGAAGGTGCAGCCACCATGGATGTTCTACTTCGACGTCGAGACTGGTATGTTTATGACTGGCTTATCTGCCTGATCATCCCTGGTTGGAGCGCTTTCTAGGCCGCTTCAATCATGAATGGCCTTTAGTACTGTTGTTGTACATTAGTTCGGGTGGCTGACCGTCTCTTTCTAGCTATCCCACCGTCAATGGCGAAGTGTGCGATGGCAGCACTTGGTATGATTGGGGTCGTTGGATCGCGTTCGCAGTCATTGTCGCTGTGGCGCTAATCATCTTCTTTCTCTTTGCGTATGCATCTCATCTGCCTGTTCCAGGATCCTGCCACTGTGATTGGAGACTAACAAGTTCGGTAGATGCTACAACGCCCGCCGTCGGCGCAGACAAGGGCTCCGACCTCACCCCGGCACTGCATGGCTTGCCGGCCCTCCTCCGACCTTCCAACAGTCTCAGCAACAAGCACAGCAACAAGGTCAACGACCATACTACGCAGACCCTTACTACCAACAACAACCGCCGCCCCAATACACTCCTCAACCGCAAGCTTATGGTTACTTTGGAGGCCAGCAGACGGGAATCGAGCTACAACAACCGCCGAACGCATACCACGGTGGCGAACGGGTGTACCAGCCACCACCGGGTCCTCCTCCCGAGGGGGCTTCCAAGGTGTAACGCTCCGACCAGTATTCCGTGAAACGACTTCTCTCTCTTCCTCCTCCTCTCTGTCTCCAGATACCCGATCCAAGGGGGTTCCTTGCGATCGACTATTATGTAATTACCCAGGCGTCTATTCGATGATCAATTATGGGATATGTCGCTTTCTGCGTCTCATAGCGTTTTGTGCTAGGAGGGATACCAGGGGCCAACGTGTGACGGGTTTATGAGTTTCTTTGTGCCTATTTATTTAAAACTCCATGGTACTCGTATTATAATGACTTATCGGGGTAGTTTTTCTATGCTCTATGATTATGGCGCCAGCATTTCTTTTATCGTTTCAATTTTTTTTCTCTCTCTCTCTTTTGTTCTTATCTATGTCTCTTCCACTGCGATTATTGTCCTCGGCTGTGTGATATATGAGGTGAAGGCAGCCGACACCAACCAAACGTGAATAGCTTACTACTACAAAGTACAATGTTAATGTTATGGAAGAAGGAACCGTTCCGAAGGATGATGTTTTGTCATCCAACGGTGGACCCGTCTGTCAAAAGCGAGGGCTGCCGATATCTGCCTGTTCTGTGCGAACTTCGTATCCTGTTCGTTGGGTCGAACCCGCGCCTAATCGAAACTAGTCTGTGAAGGGCGAACGGGGGGTGGGAAGCGATCAGTGATTATCCTTCCCCCTGGACGACTGTTGGGATACCCCTTCCCTTGGCAGCGTTCAGGTAACTGATTAGTCGCAGAGTAGCAGATAGTACTCCGTAGATAAGTAATATTATATCTCTCGTATTGTTCGGAGAATATCTAGATAGAGTCCCCCGAAACTAATTGGAATACAGTGGGTTGTGTAGTACTTCGGGAGGCTGAGTGTCGGTCCCAAGAAACGCATCCATGTATACCACCATGCTGGGGTGGGCACCGCGACTGCCAATAAGACTGGGCAGCATGCTGGAACAGCAGAAGAGTAAGAGGAAAAGGCCATGCGATGGGAGAGATCGACAGCAGTGGAGAGGGTCCGGCGAGGCAGGAAACGGGCGGTTTCATCTGCTGGTTAGCTGGGTTCGAGACAGATTAACCCTCCCTGACCCGGTCAGACACTGGTATTACACCCGATCCAGTAGTGAGATTCTATGTGTATAGCAGTGTAAATACAGTCGCTCGCCTGAATTCAATTGCGATGGGCGGACAGCAAAAACTAAAGTCAGTGAGTGGCTCTCCGCAATGCGCGCTGATCTCCTGTTCCTGAGTTGAAGTGCCTGTTCTTCTCCTCCCCAGCCGAATTTAAATCAAATTAAACCCGCTGTTGCATCCCTCGTTTTCTTCTTGTTTGCCTTCTTTCGGTCGCCCTTCCCTCCCCCATATCCCTTCCCTTCTTTCGGCCTCGGGGACGAACTTTTTCATCCCTCACGACCAGAGTCCTTCCTTTACTGGTGGTTCGAGGAGGTATCGCATCTGGCGACTTATTGTGTCCGCCTTGCAGATTCCCTGGCGATCTGCACATGATCCGATAAATCTATCCCCAATTCCCCTGGGAGGCTGTGGCGGAGCACTGTTTCGCGGTCCGCACTACACACCCACCACCACCACTACCACCATCATTAATTTCCACATTCATTGCTTTTCTCTCGTCCATCTTCATCTGACGATTCGGATCTCTCTCTTTCATCCTCCCTGTTTTGGAGGAAGTCTCTCCTTTTTACAAGAATAGATCATCACTATTTCTTGTGTCTCTCCTTGAATCAATTCCGATCGCCTGGTTGAGCACTTGCGCGCTCTCCTCTCCCTCCCTTCCCACGGTGCGACTGTCGCGGAACGCCGCAATTTGAGCCACTCATTACGATACCAAATCAGTGTCAGAAGGCAAAGCCAGATGTGTCTCTGCTAACCGTTCATTAAACCAATTTACTTCGAAAACCGGATTGAAAGAAACTATCCCTTGGTGCACAGTCGCTTATCTCATACCGTGCATTTGTTGCATGATTACGCCCGCCGTGTGTCAGGAACACGCTCTATACCGTCTTTGGTCGGCTGTGGGACTCGAAGGATTTCCCGGTGGATCGCGCACGTCTTGCCAGGATAATGAGTCCGGTGGATAAGGCTTCCGTCCCCTTGTGGGCGAGGGATGTTGTGAGCGATCTCAAGTCCGACGCCAGTACGTTCACTAGTTGGGACAAGTGCATGTCCAAGGCTTACTGCAAGTGAGTTTCTGTTTCAATTGCTGCTTGTTGGATGCCTTCTGACTCAGACTACTACCTAGGTGGCCTGTTATCGTCGCTATCATCATCGCCGCGCTGATTGTCCTCTCCGTCATCGCCTGCGTGATCAATTGCCTGTGCTGTGGTGTGCAATGTTGCAAATGCTGTTGTGGATGTTGCTTCAAGTGCTGTCCAGGTTTCAAGAGAAAGAGGAACAAGCAAAAGTACTTGGACGACCAATATGATCAACCGCCCCCCATGCCTGCCATGCCGACCATGCCAGCACCTATGAACAACGCCTATCAGACACCCTACCAACCACAGGCACCGCCCGTGTACCGTGGAGCAGAGGTTGCACGATTCGATACGCCGTCGAGTCCTGCGAACGGAAAGTTTGACGAGGATGCGTTGCCCGCCATGCCTACCTGGGAAAGTGCCGTGACAAAGAAGGTCGAGGATGAGAACCCTCACGCGGAATCACTCGAGATGAAGCCTCTGAGCAATGCGAACCAGGAGCCTCGTCGCATGCCCTCTGGAGCCCGGTCTGTTACGGGAGGCTACGGGGGGCCTCCGCCGTTGAGGACCGGAACGCCTGCTGCGCCAGGCGCATACCATGCTGAGCCTCGAGGATACGACGGATATGATGGCCCGGACGCATATGGCTATCACGCGCCCGGCCCACGGTCGCCTCCACCCGTTTCTCCATATGAGCACCAGCCTTACAGCGAGTATCCTCACGAGGACCGCTTCCATAACATGTCACCGGCTCCCACCTATACCACGCAACCGCAGTATATGCCTATGGACGCGACTCAGCCTCATCATGCACCTATGGATGGCATGCAGCCATACCAGATGCCCATGGACGGCATGCACCCGAACTATATGCCCCCAGAGCCTGCGTACCCGCACTACATGCCGCAGCATCAGATGCCTCCGGATACCGGCACGTACGGGCAGCCGATGCCGATTAACAGGACCTTCTCTCCAGCTCCGACGCTCCACTCGGCCATGAATGCGCCTCGTCCGGTCCCGTACCGCCAGCCTTCCCCCGGCTTCCAAGCACCGCCATACCGCAACATGTCCCCAGCGACTCCCACGTCGCCCCCTCCTCCATTCTCTACGACCCCTGCGCCTCGCGAAGCCAATGAACCGGGCCGGCCCCCGAGTCTTTTGCAGAGCGGACGCAGGCCTACCAACTTTTAGTCACCTTCGACTCACAGTAACCACAATACTATCAGCAATTGGTCTCGTGGCCAATGCTGGCCCTCCTGCATGTGCTTGGAGTGCCCATCCATGGGAGCAGCGTGATGGACATGTTGACACTCACGCATCAAAGCAGGCTTCTAAACAAGCCTGCAAGTCCAAGCAAACGGCTCCAAGCCACATCGCAGCAGCCAAATATATTGGCTAGATCCGTGATGCCTTATCCGGCATTCCTTCGTTTCTAGAGCCCCTCTCGCTTCGTCACCGGGTGCCCTGGTGACTAGCACCCTTTCCTCTTCATCCCGCTTGTACATACAGTTTCTACCCTTCGTATCTCCGGCCCGCTATGACCCCACCAAACCGAACACTTTTTGCATGATGTATGTTTGAATCAAATGATAGACAGTATAACGAACATGCCTAGATAGGGTTATCCCAGTGGCTTTAGAGTGATTCTTGAGGAAATACAAATCCGTTGATTAGGTAGTATTCAAAACTATTTGCAGACTATTTTCCATTATTCTAACAACTAGAGCAATCCTTAATAGTTTATGAAACCAAACTTAAATCTTACTAGCAGAGTATCCATTGATATTATACATAAATCCAACTCACCCACCTGAATACCAAATCCCAATATATATCCTAGTAGAGAAAATTGTAGTATCTACTCCAACGTAAAATCCCACTCCTTAAACGCCTCCTTAAACGCCTCCGCATCCGCTTCCTCCTCCTGCACAGACTGCACATCATCCTTCCAATTAATGCGCTTCTCCAACCCCATCAACTTCGCCATGACTCTGCGTCCGAACTGCAAATCGAACCGGAAGTCCGGACTAAGTGGCAGGAGGAGCGTTTTCTCCTTACCTTTATCACCACCCTTCTCACCATCCTTCCCAGCCTCAGCCTCAGCTTCAGCAGCAGCCTGCGGGGGCTCCCAAATCCACACGCGGAAGAAGTCACCCGGTTCGGCGCTCTCATCACCATCATTAGGTTGAGATGGAGATTCGAATCTCGGATACTTCAGGTTCTCGGCCTCGACTTTGAACGCCGCGTCGACGAGACCCCGTTGGACGAGATCAGCAGGCACAGGGAGGAATTGCCAGTGGATGTGGATACCGTTTCCGCGGGAGACTTCCCAGGTGACTGCGCCGAGGGAGTTATTTGCGCGGTGGCGTAGCATGGAGTGCAGGGCGGAGCGGTAGCGGTGCATTTCGGCGTAGGTGGATTGTCTGGAGGTGGGGTCTGAGATGGTGGAGAGGGTGGGGGAGTGGGAGAAGGGGATGATGAGCATGTGGGAGGGGAAGTTAAGAGAGGAAGAGGCGAAGGTTTTGGAGGTGGGGAGGGGACCCTTTGCGGTGGTGAGGTAGGCTTCGTCGCCGATGGAGGTGATGAGGTGGGTTGCGATGTTGGGGTTGGAGAGGCAGAAGAAGCATTGGTCTGGGCCTGGAGGGGGCGCGCGAGCGCGTCTTTTGCGGGGACGGTTGTCGTCGTCGTCGACGGCGAAGCGGTGGTAGGAGTCGCGTTGGGATTGGAGGGGTTTGCGTTTTGTGGGGATGGGGGCGAAGGGGGGCGCGGTTGTGCCCGTTGGGATGGTGAGGGCTGGGGGCGCTTTGGGGTCGAGGGTGAAGGCGTACATCCATTTGGTTTTGGTGGTTTTGCTGTAGGCGGCCAGACTGATGAAGCGGGTGAGGGGTTTGGCGTCCGGGTTGTCGGTGTCGGCGGTGGGGAGGTGGAAGAAGGGTTCGCGTTCCCAGAAGAAGGCGCTGGAGGAGGAGAGGTGGTAGCGTGGTTTAAGGGTTGAGCAGAGGTCGGCGATGCATTGGACTTCTGTTGGAGGGGTGTCGGTGGTGTCGGGGAAGGGGGCTTTGGAGCCGGTGCGGATGTCCTTGGGCCATTGGTGGGTGATGAGGATGTCGGCTTGGTGGGCGCCGTAGAGGGCGCGGGCGTCGGATTCGGTGTAGGAGGGGTGGTATTTGTCGGAGGATTTGGACTCGGGGTCGAGTGTGCCTCCTAGAGAGACGAGGCGCACGCCTTCGGAGGTCTTGAGGGTGCCGCGGCGGCCCAGGAAGTAGAGGTTAGGGCAGACTTCGTCCTTGGATTCGATGGCCTCGATGATGCGCGTGGGGAGAGGACGGCTGCCCAAGGTGAAGTAGGTGGGAAGAGGCACGACGATGTTGCCTTGGAGCAGGGCGCTGATCTGCTCGAGTTCATGCTCTGTGGAGCAGTCGCCGAAGAGGTCGCCGACGATGATGGCGAAGGAGAAGTTTTGCTTGATATGTAGCTTGGAGAGCTTGGTGAAGACGTCTTGCAGCTCGCAGTTGACGTCTCCGATGACGACTCTGGGAGGGAGTTAGTAAAGTGCTCCGAAGAGTGAGTTGAGGTAGACTTACATCTTCGACGCCATGTTGGAGAAGGGAATATCACGGATAGTAGTACTATGATGCAAGAAGCAGCTTTAACATGTTAGGGTGAGATGTTCGAATTGTGTCTGTCTTCGCTGCAACTGGTATATGTCAGGGTCAAGAGATGGTAGAAAACTCCCTGATAGAAGTCTAAAGAGATCCAAAGATGTATGCCAATGCGCGTTTGCTCCACCAACTGATGCTATTGAACGAGGAATATTCGAGTTATGCCGAAATCGCCAAAAATGGATTCGAGGAGCTTGGGCCACATGCAGTGCACGTGATACGCATCTAACCTGATGTGGCTAGAACAGACGCTGCATAAGGCCGGGCGGTGAGCTAATCTCCGCACCGGAACAAGGTTGCCGCGGCCCCGATGAATTTTTTTGTCTATACTATTACACAGGCAGAGAGGAGAGTTGGAGATATCCACCCCTTGACTTTTGACTAATTATTGTAACGACGCTGCTCGTGTCGTCGCCATCATATTACAAGATGGTCGCAGCGTCGTCGTCTTCGCGGGCTAAGCCCGTGAAGCGTGTGAAGGGTGGCACAGAGACGACCAAGTCGCATCGATTCGAGCCGTTTTCCCAGCGTGTCGCAAAGTTGAAGATCGACCCTATCCATCGTGTGCGCCGACCCAGCTTCGGGGAAGAAGCCGATGAGACCTCGTCCTACTTCCGGTCGGCCTTCGAGCACTGGGTCGAGTTGAATTTGTCGGATAATTTCGTCCACTTTGTCCGCAGGGTGAACCCGCTGTGCGAGAGTTTGGCCCAGATTCTGTACCATGAGGACAAGATCATGAGCCTGCTGGTGGAATTCATTGAGAAGAGGGACAGTTTGTCGATGGAGCCGCTGCTGGGTCTTATGGCCCAGTTCGCAAGGGATTTGGGCGTCAGGTTCGAGAAGCATTTCGCGACGGCGGTCACTCTGGTGGCGTCCGTTGCCGCAAGCCATTCCGATGTTGAGGTCGTCGAGTGGTCCTTCAGCTGTTTGGCCTGGATCTTCAAGTTCCTTTCCCGGCTTTTGGTGCCCGATCTTAGACAGCTTCTTGGTATCATGACGCCGTACCTCGGAAAAGAGCGCCAAAAGTCGTTTGTTGCCCGCTTCGCCGCCGAGTCCATGTCCTTCCTTATCCGCAAGGCCGGCCTCGTCTATTACAAAAATGCAACTCCCCTCCAGCGCGCCGTGTCCTTCCTACTCGACGACCTACGCCAGGCTGCCGAAGACGGAAATAATGTGGAGATGTATAAGGAGGGTCTCATGGCGATGTTTGCCGACGCCATCAAGGGTGTCAAGTACGGCATTCACTCCAACGGAGCCGACATTCTCAGCTGTATTTTGGACCATATCTCGACCGGCGACGATTTACGGAGCAGTCTTGGACTGGACGTTGCTAGCGGAGTTGTGATCAACATCATCCATTGCACTACACCCGACACCTTCGAGCCGATTCTTGATCTCATCAAGACGTATATCGAAAAGAACTGCCGTAAAGGAGAGAAGCAGCACGCCAATGCATGCTGCCGCCTGATTTTCCTGTGTATTGCGACTCGCAAGGGAACCAGGGTCAAGAACTGGAAGCCCGTTCATCAAACATTGCTCCTTTTGCTCCAGAACGCTGCAGGTGCGGCTAGTGCGTACGCCGAAGCCACCCCACAGCTTCTTACCGCAGTCGCCTATGCACTACAAGTGTCTCCTATGGATGAGATGCTGCCATTCATGCGCTCGATCATGGATGCTGTGTCCAAGGACGAACTTTCGACGCACTTCCTCGCTTTCTGCGCCACATTTTCAGAATGGGGACCGGAGAGATTCCACAGTGTTGTCCTCCCTTATTTCCAAAAGTTTGTTAATAACTCATGGCAAGATCACGAGCACGAGCTTTGCCTGGCATTGCTCCGGCTGAACCAGGCTGGTTGCATCACGTCCGAGGTCTCCAAGCCTGGCTACATCACTTGTCCTGCTTCCTGGAAATCCCGGGTCAAAGACACCTTCAACAAATCTGACCACAATGATACTGAAGTTACTCTACTCAGCGCATACGCCAAACTCCCTAGCGCCTTGTCGCTATCAGCGGAACCGTCTCTCATACCCGAAATGACCAGCACTCTTCATAGGCATCTTGTTCGCGTGTTAAAGCAGAAGAATCCCGACACATCCGCTACAGCCAAGCTTTTCTTGGGCCAAGGGTTCAAGACCTATGTGGACCTTGCGACGACTGCTGACGAACTCGACAAGACTCTCTGGGACCGTATTAGCAAGGTTGCGGCGCAATACTCTCGCCTCCCGGTCTTCCTTCAGGCCACGTTAGACTACATCTCAGCGTGCAATAAGGATATCGACATTAAGGGTTCAGCCGTCGAGGAATTTGCGGACGTCCTGATCTCCAACCTTAGCGGTCCCTCTCACAAGCTGCGGTTGTTGTCCCTGAGGATTTTGCGTGAACTCATTCTGGCTTCCGAAGAAGACGCCGAACTTGTCTCTCTGGCAATCGAGATCGAGGAGAGCCCGTTGACCTTGCAGAGCGCTAGGGTTTTGGCAATGCATGTGCGCAAGCTTGCATTGGCTTACCCGCAGGTCGTTTCGCGCAGATGGATGGCTAGACTGCTCCCCAATTTCTGCTTTGGGTTGTTGTCCAAGAAGATGGCGCCTCTGTGGGACGATGCTGCTGCTGCCATGAAGTCGATGTGCGAAAACCCCGAGGGCGAAAAGATAGTTTCAGACTTGGCCTTCCAGTGGCTCCATGAGAGAGGGTCGGGCGACGCAACGATAGATGCGGAGGAGGAGGACCCCGAGTCCTATGTCGGAGGACACTACACATGCTCCAATGCAGCCAAAATTGAAGACTTTTCTTCTAAATACTTCGAAAACCCGGAGAGTCCGGCTACGACTTTGGCTGAAGGATTTGAGAAGGACCACACCTTCACCGGCGTCATTCCGGCATCGCCGAGGACACAGGCTTTGCGTGTTCTCAACGCCGTACCGAACATTGCTGAGAAGAAGTCTCGCCAGGTCATTCCATTGTTCCTTTCTTGGGCTCTGCGTGACGAGGAAGATGTTCCTACTGGTGGTGATTCTGACACTGCTGACTCCTATATTCCTTGGGGCTTCCATGATCGGCTGTCTTTCCTCGCTCTCCTTGGAAAATTCATTAACCCTCGTGTGCTGTACAAGGCACCAGAGGTCCATGAAGCCCTCATGGGCTTGCTGTGCCACGGTAACTCAGAGATCCAAAAATCTGCACTCAAAGCTCTTTTCACCTGGAAGTCTGCGAGCATCACTCCTTACCACGAGAATCTTCTGAACATTCTGGATGAGTCACGTTTCAAGGATGAGCTCTCTGTATTCGTCCGTATCGGAGGTGACGATAATTTAATCGAAGAAGCCCACCGGGTCGAGCTTGTTCCTGTTCTCCTTCGGCTTCTGTATGGTCGCATGATCTCGAAGGCTGGTGCAAGCTCTGGCCAGGCAGGCCAAGCCGGCCGCAGAAAGGCTGTCCTCAGAACGTTGTCGCAGCTGCCTGATAAGGAATTCGAGATCTTCATGCAGGTTTCTTTCGGAGCACTCGAAGAACTTGATTTGGTCCAGGACAACCAGGTCAATCAGCAAGCTTTCGAACAAGAACTTGTCAGCCCTAGACGGCAGACTGGTTTGTTGAAGATGATTGAAACCGTTTTCGAGACGCTTCAAAGCCGGATGGTCCCTTACGCAGAGAAGTCTATGCAGGTTGTTCTTTACTGTCTCGTTCGGGCATGCCGCGAGATTGAAAAGGACCAGGCACCCGCTGCCGATTCACCAGAGGGTCGTTTGTTATCCGTTTTGCGCAATATTCGACACACATGTATCCGTTGTCTGGAGCTTATCTTCTCCAACACCCAAGATCAGGATTGGTCGCCCTACGTGCGCATAATCTATGAGGACGTGATTAACCCCAGGCTCGAGAACTTTGCAACCGAAACGGCTCAGGGTGTGTCAGGTCTCCTCAAGTTGTTCCATGTCTGGGCCTCTGCTCCTAAGTCATCATTCTACCTTGTCCAATACAACGATGCTCTGCTGAAGAAGGTCGTGGACTGCCTGGGTGTGGATTCGGCCCGTGATGAAGTCAAGGTCTTTGTCATGGACGAGATCTTAGTGCCCCTGATCAATCTCTCAACTGGCAAGGAGCTTCAAGAGCAGGAGAAGATGAGCGATATCCCTGCCGACGAAATCCGGTCCGAGGTCTTGTCGCCTTATATCGAGCACACTTTGTCTCATCTTGGCAGGCTCCTCAAGCGCGGTCCTTCCCGGCCCCTCCTGATTTCTGGCGTACAGACCCTGTCTCTGCTCGCGCCGTGCGTTGAGTCCTCGGAGGAGACAACTAGTCTTATCAGCATCACTACTTATCTACTCCGTCAGCCTCCAGACCGCGTCTCTCCGAGAACCAAGTCTGGCCTGCTAAAATCTTTGGAACACTTCTTGCCTCTCTTCAACCCGCAGGAGGATGCTAATCTGTCTCAAGAAGTGTTCGAAGCAGTGTCGTCGATGTTCGATTATTTCAGGGACAATGCCAACAGAGAAGTTTTGGCCCGTGTCTTTACTGCTTTCGCCAAACGCGATGAGGAGCTTGTTCATGTCGCTGCCCTTTGTGAGGACCTCAACTCCATGTCTACTAAGAGACTTGAGGTGGACTATGACCGCCGTCTGTCAGCTTTCAGGGAGGTGAATGAGAACCTGTGGGAGAAGCTCAATGCCAAGCAGTGGCGGCCTCTTCTCTACAACATGCTGTACCAGGTTAAGGATGAGGAGGAACTCTCGATTCGGTCAAGCGCTTCGTTTGGATTGCGTCGATTCATGGAACGGGCAGTTCTCAATGATGTTGAGGCTTTTGAGCCTCTGGTGGCAGACGTCTTATTCCCTGCTCTGCAGAGCGGCGTTCGCCAGAAGTCTGAGCTCATTCGATCCGAGTTCATCACTGCCCTTGGTTACTTTGTCAAGCTGAACCCAGAGCGTCCTAATGTTCAGGATATGCACGTCTTGCTTGTCGGTGACGATGAAGAAGCGTCTTTCTTCAACAATGTTCTCCACATTCAGCAGCATCGTCGTCTGCGGGCGCTTCGCCGTCTTGCCAGCGAGGCGGCCAAAGGAAACATCCAGGCTTCGAACATCAGCACGATCTTTATTCCCCTCAATGAGCACTTTGTCTTTGATGAGG